AAACAATTTTGCCTGATATGTTTGGCCTTGCGGATTTCACTTGTGTTAGGCACACTCTTAAAGTACTCGTTTGTTATCAATTGAAATTAATCATCTACCAAACGAATCAAAGTTTCTCTGCGTGAGCGAAAAAGCTACGTTTGTTTGTGTGTTTGAAATTACTCATCAAATTTTAGTAAGGGCATGAACTTGGATAAAGAATGGTTAAAACTTACTGATAAGGGCATATTCTATGTCCAGATCGTTAGTTACGACAGAATGTTACACTAATGTGACAAGAGAGGGCATTAATTTTATTATGCTAGACAAAAATTAAACAAATCAAGGACTCAAAAAATCAAGAACTCGAGTGCGGTGTTGAGAGCGGTAAACAAAAATTGACAGACTCCGGCGAAGTAAAGAAATCTTCAGTAGCTAGAGTTATGATTTCTGACAAAAAGAATCTACTGCGACACAACGTCGTTCCCAGGGTCTCTCATGAAAACGGGGTTGGGGCAACATAGATTACTAGCCACGCTCTTCCCCTGGAGTCACTCTCTCGTGGAGGGACGTGGACCGGACTCGCGTGAGCGGCGGAAATCGAGCCTAGTGGCGACATTACGGCTGCAGGCCATGCTTGCAGAAAATTCAATGAGGCTGCTTTANCAGATAGCGGAGATGTTTTATCAACATCAACATTCAGGAGAAGTTGATTTATATTCCCTGTCATGACTGCATCTTTGTGAGTTAAGCCGGAGGTGTTTGGAAAGGGATCAGCACCTCTGCGCTTGAATGGCTTCAGCTTAGTGTGGTTTTAAAATCTATTTAGAGATGCAGATATACATGTCTGCATATAAAATGATCAGCGAAGAGTTGTGGTAAGGCAACAACTACATCCGGCGCCACAATTTTCTGTAGAGATGTCAGCATTCGGGCTAAGGTAAGTTGAAATCTTATTGCTTTAATCTGTATATAAACGGCTAATAATTCTGCTCACTTGTCCTGCGGAAAGAGACAGTTACGGTAGAGTTACCTCGAAGACATCAAAACAAACTTCAAATTGTAACCTTGTCGCTTTTCGTTCTTCGACTTTGACTTCGAGTTATTCTCACAATTTTCTTGTTGCAATTTTTCGCTCGCGCTTCTCAAACTCGCATGAACTCCTCTTGTACGTATCAAAACAATTTTGCCTGATATGTTTGGCCTTGCGGATTTCACTTGTGTTAGGCACACTCTTAAAGTACTCGTTTGTTATCAATTGAAATTAGTCATCTACCAAAGGAATCAAAGTTTCTCTGCGTGAGCGAAAAAGCTAAGTTTGTTTGTTTAATTGTTTGAAATTACTCATCAAATTTTAGTAAGGGCATGAACTTGGATAAAGAATGGTTAAAACTTACTCCTGTAAGGGTATATTCTATGTCCACATCGTTAGTTACGACAGAATGTTACACTAATGTGACAAGAGAGGGCATTAATTTTATTATGCTAGGCAAAAACTAAATAAATCAGGGACTCAAAAAATCAAGAATTCGAGTGCGGCGTTGAGAGCGGTAAACAAAAATTGACAGACTCCGGTGAGGTAAAGAAATCTTCAGTAGCTAGAGTTATGATTTCAGTGACAAAAAAAAATCTATCGCGACACAACCACGTTGTCAGGGTCTCTCATGAAAACGAGGTTGGGGGCGACATAGATTACTAGCCACGCTCCTGTGTAGACCGGACTCGCGTGAGCGGTGGAAATCGAGCCTAGTGGCGACATTACGGCTGCAGGCCATGCTTGCAGAAAATTCAATGAGGCTGCTTTACTGTAGGATTCTATACAAATTATGCCTCGACTTGTCTACCACTGCACCTTCCTTTGCCATCTCTTGACATCCTTTTAAGTTTCAGATGTGTCCTTTTATTTCAGTTTAGATGGATACAATACGGATGGCTCGGATGTATCTTCCACTCCAGATCTGGATCTCCCGCATGACATTTCAGTCCTGAGGGACTCCCCTACACCTTTTCTCTGCATCACAGATGACAATGACGTCACTCATTCACCGGATTCTCCTGGCACGCCAATACATTTTCTTGTAAGATACACTTTGTCATTGTTCATGTCATTCCGGTCACGTGTTGTAGTTTGCCAGAGTACAGCAAAACTGTTTCACAAAGGCGTAACACAACTTCAGCAACAACATTTCATTTGCACCGTAGATCCGTTTTTCTAACATTACAACCAGAAAAAAGGCGAAATAATCGCCTTTCCTCGCTGAAAAAGATACGGGGTACACAACCTTAAGCTCTTCGTTGTTGCTGATGTGGTTGTTGTTGGGTTGCTATTGCCACTGTTGTTTGAACTTTGTTTACTTACCCTTCGGTATCCTAGACAGGGAGCCAAAGCGAGACACTAAAACTCCACACGAAAACCTGGGGTGGCTGGCGCGGCAATTTTTCCTGTAACTCTATTTTCGTTTCGCTTCTAGACAAACTTAACGCAAGAACATTAAATGCACGTTTAAAAAATATATATCTCCTGACCTGCAAATGCCTGTCTTATAAAAACTGTATTGAGACAGGTTGTAAGCTTTGGGATTAGTACGTAGAATACATGCAGCTACGTTCTCTGTGTCTTTTTCGCGCGCGAGTCCGCAAGTCCACGTGCTGACCAATCAGCCAGTGATATTCAACTGTAGATGGTGGCAAGCGTTCTTTTGAGAGGGTCGGCTGTAATATCAGTTATCAGCTAAATTGGCGGTTTAATACGTGACGTGGAAAAGAAGGACTCGATCCGCACTCCGCACTCATCGTTTTCCCCCTAACCCAACTATTGATGAAATTCACTGTAACGGAAATGTCAGAAAATTCTGTCCTGTGCAAGCGCTGTTCTTTTCTTTTCTTTTCTTATGTTTTGTTGGGTGAATTTGTTACTTTAGCCGGTGGCAATCAATACCTTTTGTAATTTAGATTACTTTCAAGTGCCTTAATCCCTGAAGCAAAGAAGGTGAAACAAGAATTTGTTTAAAGTAGATTTAAATTCCAAAGAAGCCAAAGACCTGAGTTACTGGAGGCACATTCAGCGACAATCTGATAGCGCTTCAACGTTACAAAAGCAAGGGACCACTTGATTCGGACGACCGAGATATCAAGAATGTAATAGTTTTGAGACAGATCAACAAATGTTATTATTCCTTCAAGAATTCTTTCATCAGCGGTAGACAACAAAACAGAAGCTTTGTTTCCTGTTGTCAAATCGTAACATGAAAATGACACTTGCTCATTCAAACTTAACTTAATTCAACTTTGTTGGGTTTAATAAAGATCAATACTTGATACCATGGAATTCACATCGTATACAGCCAGTGGACATTAGGCGACTGTCAGAGAGATTCGTTTTGAAATAACGCGGCCGATAGCGTGATTCCATCGCTTTCAGGTGTGTGCGAACTCACAAATGGTTTCCTGATTTCGCGAAATGTAAGTCCCTGAATGTTTGCATTCCCCCATCACTGCGTTTCTGAAAAACCTAACCACATGTGTTACGTGTGGGCACGCATATATAGTCCTTGTTGAAAGAAACTGGCGTGATTATGAGTTCGTGAACTGAAAATGGTTTTCCTTTTTCTAATCTAAGAACAAACATATACATTATGTACATCACACCGAGAATTATATAGGTTTCAGGTTAGGATATGCCTTTCAATGCCATTAACTACAATTCAAAGTTCTGTTGGGCAACCCTAAATAAAATTTCCGTTTTATCCTTTTGCCAGCGATCTGGTTTACAGATTTAATACGAAAAGTAAAGAGACATGAATTTCTTTATTTAATTGCCTCGAAGATAACTTGAAACTTTTGTTCTAACTCTTGGAAATTTGCCGGAACAATTCTGAAACAAAACAATCGCAACAGTAAAAGTTTAAAACTTTTGAAAGTTTGTTTTGTGACTTCTGAATGAAATTTCAGTGGCTGGCAGCCTTGAGTCGTGGGACAGTTCCACTCTTTGACAATCAGCTGGTGCCTACTCTCACTTTGTAACCCAGCTATTCGATTCTTCATGTTCGATTTCTATAATTTGGCATCCCCGTCAGTGGACCCTTCGATGAAATATATGGAATAAATTTCTCTGGGGTATAAGTTCGGTGTCATTGCAGTACAGAAATTTTATCATCGCCTTAAGAGACGTACCGACGAGATAGATTGGTACCTGTTAGCTCTTACAAAAGAATAGCCAACCCGCGTGACAAGGCTGCCCGCTTTGTAGGCGTGACAAAAATTGCGGGGAAGCGGTTGCTACGCAATTGCAAGCTATAGCAATTTGAACCACTTCAGACTGAACTTGATCTAAAAGCAGATCATTACGTCCTCACGGTG